TAATAATATAATAATCAATATAATTAAATATTAATATAACCTCATAATTTTAATATTATTATCTATTATATTGTATTGCACAAGTTATAATTATATAATATATTAATTATAATATATTTGTTTAATATAATATAATAATGATTATATATTATAATATAATATAATATAGTTGTAATTTTTAATTATATTATAACTGAAATATTATTATTTCTTATGTCATATTATAATATGTTTTATAATATTGTAATTATATTAATCATTTTAAAAATATTATTATATTCTATATCATTACATTATATGTTATAAGATATAATTATATTATAATATAAATTATATTATAAATATTAATATAATAATATTTATAATTATAATATTCAAGTGTAATGATGGAAAATAAAATTAAAAGTGCTTGGAATGAGCCTTCATCTCATGTGAGGAATGAATGATGATTAACTCATTTAATAGAAAAATCATTCTATTTTGAATGGCCATTCTTTTTCTTAAAACCAACCAAACATGTGATTTTTTTTTATTATGCATTTTTATATTACACTAGTTCGAAAGTCATTTATTTACTTCAAAGAGAAATAAAATAAATTTAAGACATGAATAAGTCTTTTTCATTGGACATGGTAGTTTGATAATAAACGCATAAAGGGAGTCATCATGAACTCAAATCAGGAAACAATATTATTTTTGGGACAATGTTGTCTAAATAAAAAATCATACTTGTGTGAGCCGATATTGTTGCGTGTATATATATATATATATATATATACGCTAGTTGAACTCCACGTATGAAGCACGTAGAGAGTAATTATGTGTTAAGTTTAATTATCGTAATATTATTTAAAGCATATAATATATGAATATAAAATTCTAAAGACGAGCTAAAATGAAAAAAATAATAATAATAAAGTTTTAGAGCAAAAGGCCTGAAAAAGTAAAAAAAAAAAAAAGAGGAAGACTAAAATGAAGAAATAAATAAATTTTAAGGTAAGAGGAGCCAAAACGAAAATATAAAGTATCGGGATAATAAGAAAAAAAATGGGCCAAAAGGATTAAAAGAAAGAAATAAATAAGTTTTAGGACGTTTAGTAAAAAAAATAAGTTTTAGAATAAAATGAACCAAGACGAAAAAATAAAATTTTGGGACAAAAATAATAAAAAAAGATAAAAATGACTAAAATTAAAAAATTAAAAAATTTAAGGTAAAATAAAAAAGAACACACTAACCAAAACGATGTAGTTTTGGTTGAAAATGTATTCTACGCAGTGCATTTTCAACTAAAATTACGTCGTTTTGGTTGAAAAGTGTACCGTAGCAAGTATACATTGACATTTCTTATATCTATTATATAATAAAAATGTGATGAAGTAGGCAGCTGTCGACTAATTTTTTTTTCTTCTGTTTGTGCCCCTCACCTTTTGTATTTTTTACTTGTTATTTATTCTTTTTTCTTACTTAGGGCTTAAGAAAAAGCGGTTAACTTATGTTTCTATTCATATCCTTCACTTTTTCTACTATTTACTTATTTGTTATCTACTCTTTTATCTTACTTAGGCCTAAAAAAATACGATTTAATTTTTATTACTATTTATACCCTTCACCTTTTTTTTATTTTTTACTTACTTGTTATCTACTCTTTTCTATTACTTGGGGCTTAAAAAAAAGGTTGTTAAATTTACGTTTTTTTTATACCATTTCCCTTTACTTTTTACTTTCTTGTTATCTACTATTTTATCTTATTTATAACTTAAGAAAAAAATGATTTATTTTTTGTTTCCAGTCCGTCACCTTTTGTACTTTTTCCTTACTTGATATATACAGTTTTTTTTATTTAGAACTTAAGAAAAAGTTGTTAAATTAAATAATAATTATATTACGTGTCGAAGGTTGCTTCTAAACCATCACCAATAAAAAATTACATAAGATTTTGTTAGTTTATTTACTTTTTTCTCTTACTTAGGACTACGAGAAAAGAGTCAAATTAAATAATAATGTTTCTATTACATGATAAAATGATCATTTTATCATTTTATTTAGACTAAAACCTCATATTACTAAGAAATTTAAAATTTATTTGCATCAAATTTCTTTTTCATAACTTGTTTTTAATGATATAGATGCATTTTATGTAGATCTTTTTCTTGCACTATGTTTTTCAAATAACAAATAAAATATTCACCATTATTTATAACTTTTTAAAATTATTATACTCCATCTTCGTAACTCTCTATATCTTTTAAACTATAATTAATAGAGTATGACAATTATTTAGAATTCATTTGTCTACTTTACAAAACTAATTTTTTAATAAACAATAAATATAATAATTAAATTCATGCCCTATTATAACTAGCACGTACATTGGTGTTTTTTTACTAGTGTGTATATATATATATATATATAT